TCGCCTGTATATTTTGGCCCGATCTTGGTATTATTCCGATATCACGAGATGGCCAACGAATATACCTCAACTGCAATCACAGCTGGCCTGTTTTCTGCCCGTGAAGGGATCTAGCTTGGCTATTGGCGTTATAGTATCTGAATTCACTATAGAATCACCGTTAACTGACATATACACTTCGATTTTGATTCATACTCGCACACTAATCTGTCAGCGATAAACAATCACATTAGTTCTTGTTCGTAAAATACACCTGACGGATGAGTTCGTAAAGATCTAATTCCATACCAAGCGGTGTCTAATGGACACTCTCTAATATGAACTCCGTCACCTGTATCCTCTGCAAGTTAATGTTATTGAACAACTTCTCATGATTCATTCTCGAATGATGAACACCACCGAAGAACTCTACTAGGCACCTACCATACTTGTAAACACTTGTTGGAAATGTCGTGGTATGACATCGTTCATATCTGTAAAACGGCGCGGACTTTCTATTTCATGGAAATAATAATGATATTATTACTAATAATCTAATTGAGCAACCTAGTACAGTAAATGTGGTGTCATTTAAATCAATTCGATCTTGCCTGTAAACTAGAATATCTCAGGTAACACACTGTTATTTGGGAATAATAATAATTAGTGACTGTAGTGGAACAAGAAAGTAGTACGAATGACAAAGGGGTTGAAGCTGTTGATTGATTGGTCATCATTTCCAAATTTCATGTCCATTCCTTTTAAGAGGATGATTGTGTTGGATGTGATAGTCAGATATTGTCAGTGGTTACTTATATTAAAATTGCAACCAATTAGCAAGTTGTGTCACAAATATTTAACTGGTTACACCAAGTGTCCATAAACCAGTATCATTCGACTATCCCATTCGTAAGGCCGTCGTTGACAGTTTTTGGAATCATGGTTTTGATTTTAAGGACCTGAACGCTCAATCCTTCGGAAAAGATGTAAATAAGTTGGAATTCATCACTCAGCAGGAACAATATATTCAGAGGCAACTTGTAAAGACGAGACTGGTCAGCAGACGGCCTAATCAGAGGGGGGTTCAAATACAAGATCCTGAAATCAGGATAGGTACTGCCGATCATCCTTAGTTCACAAATTCGGGACGTTAAAATCTGTTAGACTTACAGATTTCATGTGGATACAGTGATTAAAAGTTTGTGATCATTTTCTAAGACGTATCGATAGTGAGCAAATCCATTAGAATTTTTGGTACACTCAGTTTCTTTTAAAAGTCCACGAGTAACAAGTAACAAGTCAACTTTGCATCAGGAAATCACAAAAGATTTCAAACTCATCAAATTAAGTGTATCGTCCTACGAAGTTTGTGTAATTTGTTTTAACGTCTGAGCAACCTTTTTTAAGCCAAAGTTCACGTTGTCTGGAGTGGTTTATCTGCATTTTTCAAATGTTTTTGACTTACTGAAGTCTAATTATGCCCAGTCTAAATCTTATTCCAAAGAATTTGAAAAGAATACATACACAAACGTCACTATCTAGTAGATGTATTGTGCACGAAAACCCAGGTGAGGACATTAACAATACATTTAGGCGAATGTTACAGAGTTGTTAGGCATATTTACAAAACCTTCCCGTGAATCATCATTTGCAAACTAATCCTTATTTGTTTCAGATTTCAGTGTGCTTTCATTTAGACAGTTCAGACTTTAGTTCACTTTACGTTACCTACAAATCGCCTTCTGTTTCATTCTTTCCTTCTCGATCTTTTGCTGTCAGACGTTTGATTTCCATTTAATATCATATACTACTTATGTGAATATAAGTAGCGTACACCACAGATGGTGTAGATACACTGGACACTGTTTTCCTCAGAAAGATAACTTACAACCCCAAATTTTACATACGATATTTCTTCTTATAGACTGATTGTTGAAATGGGGTTGAATAATTGTCGTGACCATGCTGGAAATATTCATGATAAAATTTCATTAAGAAGATTCTTAAGCCTAAAAATATGCTGTACCCGGCTCATTTTATGCTTCCACTACGTAAAAATACCAACTATAGTGGTCAAGACGATGCAAAAATGATAGAAAATGTGGGCGGTATTGTGAAAGAAACAAAAGATAAAATGAGTACTCTGGCTAACCAGGAAATTGTTTTCCGTTCTTGCTCACGCCTGTTACCCCCTTCGGAGCTTGGGTCACCGACCATCATTCTTCAACTTACTCTGACCTGGGCCTTCTTATCCGATCACCATTCATTCTTCTAATGTATGCCTCCGGTTCTCGGCGTAATGTGTTTTCTCGGCCTCCCCTTCTCAGTTGACCTTGAAGCTTCCAAGTAAGGGCTTGGCTTGTGATTCATTTGGGTGCTTTCCCTAATGTGTGTCCTATTCACTACCAGCACTTATTCTTGGTTTCTTCTCCTTCTGGAATTCGGTTCGTTCTCTCCCACAGTAGGTTGTTAGTGATGATGTTTGGCCGACGGATCCGAAGTATATTGAGTAGACGACTATTAAAAAACACTTGGATCTTATAGATAATGGCTTTGGCAGTTTTCCAAGGTTCCGCCTAATACAGTAGACCTGTCTTGACATTTGCATTAAAAACTATGACGTTGGTACTTGTTTTGATATTTGTTTTGAGTTCCATATTTTCTTCGATTGCTGAAATGCTGCCTGCTTTACCGATCGGCACCTTTACGTCTGCATCAAATACACCTTACTCGTTCATCATGCTGCCCACACATACAGAGGTTTTTACATTCCGTGCAGCTTTTCCTACAAGTGTGTTTTGGTGTTGACTATCCTCTGGGTGACAGCTTTGAACAAGCCTCCGGAGAGTTACTCTGTTCATTCTGTAGAATGCTCTCGTAGTCAGTGAAGTTGATAGAGAGTGGTGAATTCCATTCAGTCGACTGTTCCACAACAATCCGTAGTGTCGCCTCTTGGTCGGTACACGACGGATCCTTACGGAATGCTTCATTCTGTTAAATATGACTGTTGAAGACTTCCTCTGGTGTTCGGAGAATATCGACTCATTTACAATTGCTGAGATCTCTTTTCTTTGGTATCTTGATGAGACATCCTTCTTTCCAGTCTGTCGGTGGTATCCCTTGAGTCAAAAAACCTCATGAAACGTAGAGGTTATTGCTTCCTTGATTCCTTTAAAGTTTATTTCCATAAAAGGCCTATAACCGTTTACTGGGTTTGTCTGTGTCTTAAAAAGGCCTTATGAAACTTTTGTGATATTTTCATTCCTGCTGTGCAGTGCTGTTTTAGTTCCTATTCTATATGGGTGATCATCATGTTATGATCTTCTTTCTTACGTACTCCATCATCCTTTTGATACTGATGTGACTAATTTGGTTTTCTGTAGTGTGATCCGGCGAAAGCCATGTGGCATTGTGTATGTGTTTGTATGGGAATATGGTGCGCTCATGCCCAGTTCGTCTAAAGCACACTGATTTGTGAATCTCGGATCCTTTTTGTTCCTTTCTCCCAGTCCTTGTCCCACAATGCCTTCAGTTTTGTCCATTCGAATCAGACTCGCCAAGTACCGTGTATGGTATTTCTCGACGATTCATTGTGGCCTCTCACGGAATTATTGTTTATCACATTTATTGTTATCGCTGGTTCGCTCACAGCGCTGAATGTTATTCATTGCAATCCCATCTTTCTTTGTTTTGAAGGAGGCTTTTACGATCCTACATCCACGAGATTCCCATTTTATCAGTACCTTGTGTGCATGTTTGGACAACATCAGTGCAACTACTTGCGTATGTGAGGTGTTTTCTCAGTGACCACAGTATAACAGCATCTCTTTTGAAGCTAGCCTTTGTTGCCCAGCCTGCTTCCAATATGTTCCAATGATTCCAAGTACACCAAGTAGTATCTTGTCTTTGTGCAGCAACTTGGATGACTCTGTCTCCTACAATGTACGAACATTTCATGCACGTAAATTAATGGTTGCTCTGGTTGTTAGAAGGGACATCAGTCTCGTGAATTCTGAAGGAACTCGGCTTTCATCATGAGATATGATAAATCTTCTGTATGAAGACCTTTTAAGTCCCACGGCCAGAGTTCAAATGGTTTAAATAATGTTTTGTGATTAGCGTTATTTTAGCGAGTTAGGTTTTCATGGGATGGGGTTATCAACCCCAAGCCCAACCATTGTCCTTTATCTGGGCTTAGGACCTGCAGCAACCCAGGGGGCGCTCCAGTCGGAGTTGGTTCACTTTCTTAAGTTTTGTTAGATGGGGGGATCGGCCTTGTGACTCTTGAAGAAACTCGATTTTGATTACGAGACTTCATAACTCTTCTAAATGAAGAGAGTTACTTTTCTGCGGTATGGGTTTGCTAAGCTCACACACACGTCCACCTTTATCCGGGCTCTCAACAGAGTTCCGAATAATTGTGGTGAAAAAAAGAATTATCATTATCGAAACGATTAATACGTTATTTCAAAAGGAATAAATGGCAATTAAAAACACTCGAATATTTACAAATTCGCTCACAAAAATAATATGGGGCGTTACTTAGATTGCTTGCAGGATGCGTTTCCAGGTTTTTCCGGTCTTGGAATCCATTTACAAAACGAAATTACTACTGTCCAAATACAGATCGTCCAAACGATGTGTGCCGAGAATAGTCGATTAATTAAAAGATCGTTATGATCTGTGAATGTAAATTACAGTTATATTAGAGATCTATTCGCTCGGCAGTTGATCAAATGAAGCGAAGAGTATCCTAACACTACTGTTTTTCTGGGTGATTATTGATATGGCTAGTAGGTTTAGAAAGAAATGATAACGGAGGACTGATTCCAAGTGGAAAAATTTTTTAGGGTCGGTAACAGTGAAGTGGGATAATGAAAAATGAGAAAAATTACAGTTGTTTACGTAGTAAGTCTGTGTTAAACAGTTTCTTAACCTAAATTTCAGTTTTTAATAAATAATTCATGTGACCAAAAAGGTGTATTGAGAAACCTACAGTCCTCAAAGACTAAATCTAGATCTGCGTCTGAAGGTTTCAAGGTGTTGCGTAAAGTAGCGCCTGGTTCGAACATTGAGGCAAGCTGATGGGCGGCGATAATTCTAAGCTAGGCTATAGGAATGCGGTTATACAGCTCACTACTAAAACTAAAGTACTACTTATTTTTCACAGATTTCATTGATTAGCCGGTTGATTCAAATGATGACAATTTCTGGGATCAGTTTTGGGCTGAATATCCCATGTCTATCCAGGATATTTTTGCGCTCGTCCCTTCAGCCGAAATCCGAGCTCTCAGAACAGAAGCCCCAAACAATCTAGCAACTTTATGCTATAAAGCCGTCGAACGTATTGTACAGGTTTCTGAGTCTGCGTCACCAACCGCCAAGGATCAAATCACAGTTCTTAACTGTATCCGATTGTTAACTAGATTATTACCGTACATATTTGAAGATGTCGAATGGCGGTCGTTTTTCTGGTCACCTTTACCAGTTGATCCCTCTCTGTCTCGAGAAGTACGTTATTTTGCCTTTTATCTTACCAAATACAGGGCGAGTTTGTTCCTCTTGCTCAAAGCTTACTATCAGCACTTTGTGTAAGTGACTTCCTTAATCTTAAATTTCTCTCAGGACCTGCTATTTTGTCCAGATTTCACGGTGCATTCAATTTTCAAATCTGGTCCTGTGAGTTTTGTGTGTTTTATTTATACATTATTATATTTCATAATAATTCAAGGTTCTAGTCCTGTGTTGTTTGACGTAAAATCAGTTGTGTCTATATACTTTAGGGAAAGGTTCAATAATATATACTGCCTTCTCGTTTACCATGTTTCTCTGTTCTCAGTTTTCGAACTTTGGAACTAATTTCTTAATGTGTTGATAACTTGCAATAAAATTCAAGGAGAATCCTGTGATGATGATAAACTATAACAGTCTGCACTACTGTAGATGTATAGTTATGTTCTATAATGCTTAATACAAAAACTCATCTAGGTTTACTTTACAAACTGACAATTCGTGTAGCTGGTTACATTCTCCATAATCATTTCCCGTCTCATATCCCATATTTCCTCCAAGTAGTATTCCGTTTAGATCACCATCAACCATACTGTTTGTAAATATAATTTCATTTATCTACCAAGACCTAGCCCGACCGTGGCTGCTACCTTGACGTGGTGGTCGGGCTTGCCTATCGTGATGATCCAACCGAGCTATACTGGCTGGAACATATGTTCCTGCAGGTCCTACCATGCCAGACAGGTCGATTGGAGAACGATGAGACTAAAAGCAGCTACCCAAGGTCTGAGGGCGAAGTCGTACTGCTGACTGCAGAGGGGTGTGACAGCAGTAAGGTGTTTCCCTTGGACAACCAGCATCTGCAGCGATGCTGCCTTCTCACAAGGAAGGAAGGGTTAGAAAAGGTCGGCCCTCAAAATGTCACACCTCCCCTACCTCACGGATTTCCGTCTCCGGTGGTAAGGGTGCCCACTAAGGGCCTTTAAGAACGGAGCTAATCCTCTAAATACCTTTCATAAAAAGGCCGTGCGTGACCGGCCTCAAGCAGTTGTCCCTTGGACTCTGCGGTCACGCACCAACACTAATCTATTTTCCTTTTCAGGTTCCTCAAGAAACAACCTTCCACGGTGTGGGCAGCCGGGAAGTGATAACCGCCCTCATACCCGCAACAGCACGCGAGACCAAATTGGTCAAAATCAAATCCTTCCTACACCCCCTAATGTCTCTCTTATCTCCACGACTAACTCTTCCTACATTCATTCATCACATTGCACAGCTAATGCAGACGATACGAGTTCGCGAAAGGTCGTTCCTGGTCTCCTTAAACCTCGCTCTAGACTACATGTTGGAGCATTTAATGTACGGACATTGTGTCAAATAGGGCAACAGGCTTCCTTAGCTATGACTTTAGAATCTCGTGCCATCGATGTATGCTGCGTCTCGGAAACGCGCATACAGGATCCGAGTCACGTCATACACTTGACCACACCATGTCAAAATAAAGAAGCAGCTCGATTTACTCTTCGTGTATCCGGTAGCCCTGATGCTGCTTCCCGGGGTCTTGCTGGCGTAGGCATAGCATTGAGTCGTAGGGCAGAACAATCTCTCCTTGACTGGATCCCAATAGATAGTCGATTGTGCGCTGTCCGACTAAACGGGACAGTAAGGACTCGGAAAGATAGGGACAATCGCCGTTGCCTCTTCATCGTATCTGCCTATGCCCCCACTGAATGCAGTTCAGACGAGGTTAAGGATGAGTTTTACAGAAAGCTTTCGGACCTCCTCCAAAAAGCTAGGCGCTCTGATATAGTAATAATGGCTGGTGACTTTAATGCTCAAGTAGGTAGACTAAGTGAGCAGGAGAGACACCTTTGTGGATGTTATGGTGTCGCGGCTCAGAGAACAGACAATGGTGACCGTCTGTTGCAAACATGCTCAGACAACCGCCTATTCTTAGCAAACACTAACTTTAGGCATAAGGAAAAGCACCTTTTGACCTGGCGACCTCCAAAGTCGTCTCAACGTTGGACTCAACTAGATCACATCGCCATCAGCCACCGATGGAGGGGTTCGATAGAGGACTGTCGCTCGTTCTGGGGCACATGTTTGGATTCAGATCTTGCCCTGGTGCGAGCGCGTATTTGTTTGAAGCTTACTGGACGTAGGAAAGACACCGTAAGAAAGCAGTGATATCTGCTAGTGAGGTTGACCATAAGGCTAGAATGAAACCGTGGATCTCAGTAGCATCCACCGATCTGATGGATGCCCGAAAACTCATCCCACCTGGCTCTGAACATGATGAAGAACGAAGTCAACTTAGGCGCAGACTTATGAAAAGCCTACGTAACGATCGCGAGCAGTGGTGGGTGGCGAAAGCAAAAGCGATGGAAAAGGCAGCGGCGATAGGCAACCCTAGACAACTTTTCCGACTTATCAAGGAAACTGGTATTAGGAATCCTAGTGTAAGTGAGACTATCTCGGAAAAGGATGGGATTATTATCCATTCTCAATGCAGGAGACTGGATCGATGGGCAGAACACTTTAGGGATCAGTTCAACTGGCCTCGAGCCACTCTTCGGTTACCCACGATCTCCAGTCATCCTGAATGGCAAACCGACGTAAGTCCGCCTAGTCTTAATGAAGTTGAAAAAGCGTTAGGAAATCTGAAGCGAGGTCGAGCTGCAGGTCCTGATAGACTGACCCCTGAGATATTTAAGGATGGAGGTCCAGTTTTATCAGCTAGGTTGACTGAGATCTTAGGTAGAATCTGGGAACTGGACGCAATCCCATCCGACTGGTCTCAATCACTGATTGTCCCAATCTATAAGAAAGGACAAAAGTCTTCTTGTGACAATCACAGAGAAATAAGTCTAACTACTATAGTATCCAAAATATTGGCCTCAATAATACTTCGACGCTTAACGAAAGCTCGTGAAGAGCAGACTCGAGAAAACCAGTCTGGTTTTCGAACTGGACGTGGTTGTATAGACAACATTTTCACACTACGACAGGTCCTGGAACACAGACACACATTTAGGCGTCCTACAATAGTTGTTTTCCTGGACCTTAAGGCGGCATTTGACTCAGTGGATCGTGAGGTTCTGTGGCAGTGTCTGTCATTGAAAGGTGTACATCAGTTCATGTTGCCATACCACATCAGCACAGAGATGTAATTGTCAATTCAAATCCAATAGTAGAAGAGGTAGTAAAGGTATTAGAAGTAATCGCAGAGGTTAGGATTAGAAGATATTATTCAAGAAGTTTGATTCAATGAGAAAAGTTTAGGAAGTCAAAACTAGAGGGGTTGAAGAATCCAGAAGATTAGGATTTGAGAGAACACAAAGAATAAATGCACCGGCGCTATTGCGAACGATTTTGAGCGATGCCATTAAGGGTCTCTAACCATCGATTATTATCATCTCGCGGACCCCGACCGGGTAGTCGACAATTACCAACATGGCTAAGTCCACTCGTCAATGACCTCATGGATTTCTGCCATGTTTTGGTTTGGCCGCCCCTAAATTTCTTCTAACCTACTCCTACACTACAAAACAAAGCTCATCGAGGCAGACGGTCATTACGCATACGAAACACATGTCCCGACCACCTCAACTGATGAAGTTTCACTACTGCGTCTATTGATCTGCCATCCTTACCTAGCACCCGATTCCTAATAACAGCGTTGCTCACTCGGGTGTCCCAGGATACACAAGCAATGCTTCGGAGAAACCTATGATCGAGAACAAGCAACCTACGAATATCTTCTACTCTGACTGGCGATGTTTCACAGCCATAAAGTAGGACGGAGCGAACTACTGCGCAGCGCACTCATCCTTTAATCAGCAAACGGATATCTCGCCTGCATGCATAGGTGATGCAGGCTGGCAAAAGCCAATGGAGCCCTCTGTATTCATGCTGAGATTTCGTCAGTCACCAGGCCATCGGCACTGATGAGGCTCTCAAGATAAGTGAATCGGTCTACACGCTCGACTACTTCACTCTCTGTCACTAGTTCAGGTGCCGATGAAACCCAATCTTGAAGCAAAATTTTGCATTGTTGCTTAGGGTAATCAGAAGACTGCATTTCGTCAGCATCTTCACCAAGTAGGACAGTGTCATCGGCATATTCTAAGTCAATAAGCGAGCCACCTGGTAGAAGGTCTACTCCAGAAAATTCAGACGAGGATAAGGTTATATCTAGGAGCATGTCTATGAAAAAATTAAACAAGAATGGAGAAAGTGGACTTCCCTGATGGACACTACTTGAAGTAACTAATTCCGGTGACAGTTTCCCATAAGCTCTCGCTCGACCAATGTTGTTCGAGTAGAGAGCTTGTGTAAGGTTAACGTACTTCTTTGGTACACCATTCATTAACAGACACTGCCACAGAACTTCACGATCAACAGAGTCAAATGCTGTCTTAAGGTCGGACACCTAAATGTGTCTATGTTCGAGGACCTGTCGTAGTGAAAAAATGTGGTCCATACAGCCGCGTTCAGGTTTGAAACCAGCCTGGTTTTTTCTAGTCTGCTCTTCACGAGCTTTCGTTAAGCGTCGAAGTATTATTGAGGCCAATATTTTAGATACTATATTAGTTAGACTTATTCCCCTGTGATTGTCACAAGAAGACTTTTGTCCTTTCTTACAGATTAGGACAATCAGTGATTGAGACCAGTCGGATAGGATTGCGTCCAGTTCCCAGATTCTACCTAAGATCTCAGTCAACCTAGCTGCTAAAACCGGACCATCATCCTTAAATATCTCAGGGGTCAGTCTATCAGGACCTGCAGCTCGTCCTCCTTTCAGATTTCCTAACGCTTTCTTAACGTCATTAAGACCAAGGGGACTTAGGTCGATTTGCCATTCAGGTTGACTGGAGATCGTGAGTAACCGAGTTGTGGCTGAAGGCCAGTCGAACTGATCCCTAAAGTGTTCTGCCCATCGATCCAGTCTCCTGCATTGAGAATGGATAATAATCCCATCCTTTTCCGAGATAGTCTCACTCACATTCGGTTTCCTAATACCAGTTTCTTTAATAAGGTGGAAAAGTTGTCTACTGTTGCCGATCGCCGCTGCCTTTTCCATCGCTTTCGCTTTCGCCACCCACCACTGTTCACGGTCTTTGCGCAGGCATTTTATGAGCCTTCGCTTATGCTGACTTTGTTCTTCATCATGTTCAGAGCCAGGTGGGATGAGTTTTCGAGCATCCATCAGATCGGTGGATGCTACTGAAATCCACGGCTTCATCCTAGCCTTATGGTCAACCTTACTAGCAGATATCACTGATGTTTCCAAAGCCTTTTTGATATCATTCCAAGCTGCCTCCGGATATGAATCGCTTGCATGGTCGCCTAACTGTCTTTCTAGTTGTTCCTGGAATATATTCTTCGCCTTATTATCATTAAGTAAAACCCTAAGAGACTTTCTTACGGTTTCTTTCCTTCGTCCAGTAAGCCTCAAACAGATGCGCTCGCACTAGGGCATGATCTTAAACTAAACATGTACCCAGAACGAGCGACAGTCCTTTATCGAACCTCTCCATCGGTGGCTGATGGCGATGTGATCTAGTTGAGTCCAACTTTGAGACGACTTTGGGGGTCGCCAGGTCAAAAGGTGCTTTTCCTTATGCCTAAAGTTAGTGTTTGCTAAGAATAGGCGGTTATCTGAGCATAGTTGCAACAGACGGTCGACATTGTGTGTTCTTTGAGCCGCGACACCGTAACATCCACATAGATGTCTTTCATTCTCGCTTAGTCTACCTACTTGAGCATTGAAGTCACCAGCCATTAGAACTATATCAGAGCGCTTAACATTTTGGAGGAGATCCGAAAGCTTTCTGTGGAACTCATCTTTCACCTCGTCTGAACTGGAGTCAGTGGGGGTGTAGGCTGATATGACGAAGAGGCAAGGACGAGTTTCCTTATCCTTTCGAATCCTTACTGTGCCATTTAGTCGGACAGCGCACAAGCGATTATCTACTGGGATCCAGTCTAGGAGAGATAGTTCTGCCCTGCGACTCAATACTATACCTACACCAGCGAGACCCCTGAAAGCAGCATCAGGGCTACCGGATACACGAAGAGTAAATTGGTCTGCTTCTTTATTTTGACAAGGTGAAATCAGATTAATAATTTTACTAGGATCCTGTATGCGCGTTTCCGAGACGCAGCATACATCGATGGCACGAGATTCTAAAGTCCTAGCTAATGATGCCTGTTGCCCTATTTAAAACAATGTCCGTACATTAAATGCTTCAACATGTAGTCTAGAACGGGGTTTAAGGAGACCAGGAACGACGTTTCGTGGACTCGCATCGTTTGCATTAGCTCTGCACTGTGACAAATGAATGAGAGAAGAGAAGTACTAAGGGGTGTAGGAAGGATTTGATTTTGACCAATTTGGTCTCGCGTGCTGTTACGGATATGAGGGCGGTTGTCACTTCCCGGCTGCCCACACTGTGGAAGGTTGTTTCTTGAGGAACCTGAAAAGGAAAATAGATTAGAGTTGGTCTTAGAGATCTGGGTGCTTGACCGCTGAGCCCAAGGGACAACTGCTTGAGGCCGGTCACGCACGTCCTTTTTATGAAACGTTTTTTGAGTATAAGATCCGCTCTTAAAGGCCCTTAGTGGGCACCCTTACCACCGGAGACGGAAATCCGTGAGTTAGGGTGAGTTGTGACATTTTTAGGGTCGACCTTTTCTAACCATTCCTTCCTTGTGAGAAGGTTGCATCGCTGCAGATGCTGGTTGTCCGAGGGAAACACCTTACTGCTGTCACACCCCTCTACAGTCAGCAGTACGATTTCGCCCTCAGACCTTGGGTAGCTGCTTTTAGTCTCATCGTTCTTTGATCGACCTGCCTGGCATGGTAGAACCTTCAGGAACATATGTTCCAGCCAATACAGTTCGGTTGGATCATCACGATAGTCAAGCCCGACCACGACGTCAATGTAGCAGCTACGGTCGGGCCTCCAAGTATGCAGCATCTGAAACTCTCATAAACCAGTCATCTTTGATTGATCAACTTGCTGTTTATTCTGTCTAAATAGTCGAGGTAATTTTCATCCGTGTGAATAAATTCACTGTTTTCACAATAATTTGTAAGTGGACTCCTTTCGAAGCCCTTCTACGTTTACTGCCGGTCCCAAGCCTGCATAATAATGACTGTTAGGCATAGGGTTAACAACTCCACCTCATAGAAAACTTGTTAGAACGCCAACCAGAAATTTCATTTAACTGTATTTCACTATAAATCTCACGTATTGTAATTATTGGCAATAAGTAGTGTTTTCAAAATCTAACTAGTAGTTTGAATCTCATCATTTTTCACTAAGCTGTTGGTATTTGTCACTCATTGGTGTACCAAAAATGTAAGTCATTAGGTGGTTTTCTATTCTGATTCTATTGTATGAGTTAGAGATTATGGCAAACGGTTACCAGCATACCTAACCTCATAATGTTCTTCAAGGTTGCCCACTGTCTCCTATTTTTACCTAATTTTTTCATAGATATTCTAGAAATTAATACCGTGGATTGATATCTCCTAAACGATTCTTCATCTACCGACCTAAAATACAAAGAATAACAATAATTGGTGAAGAAACTGACAAAATTTTGAGGTTTTATGACTATCTGTAATAGAGAAACAAGCACAATTAGGATGTGTTGCTCTCCAAATATAAAATATTAATCCAGAATAGTTTGTGTTAACCCCTGTATCAATAATGATTGAAGCAGTTCAGTGTGTCACAACTTCACTTGTTTCAGAATTCTCGTTAGCCCTAATTAGTTGGTGCCTGACGAAACTTCAGCACTTATTCAAAAAGCTCGATTTGATTTTTTCACCATATCGAGAGAAATGTTTGGTGCAATGGCAAGCTAGACGAAAACTGTTAGTGGTTGGACCAAGACAGCATCGGTTGATGAATTCGTTGATAATTGGACCCAGCTACGTTAACAAAAGTACACTTATCAGTCAAATAACTTACCAATATAGACAAAGTATTTGATAGCATAATGTCTATCAACGGGCAGTTTCTCGCAGGTTGCAGACCGAATAATCTGTTGAATAACATGGTTCGGTCCGATCTTTTATGCCATAACATATACTTCTGTAACTGTTATCCTACAAAACGTCCTATCTCTAAATGCACTCGTCGGTGCGAGGGTTTAGAGAGTTTTCCCTCTCTGGAAATGCTCTTGTATAGACGCCCGGAAATTATCCTAGCGCCCATACAAATTCATCAATGTGCGGCGAATAAATATTTAGGCTCCCCTTTTCACTAGTTGTTCAAATAAATAAAGTAAATAAATGGAACATCTACAAACGAAAATGCTGTTAGACATTTAACAAAAATAAAGACGGGATCTTAATTTTTTTGTATTGAGGACGTTAAGCTTATTTTTTTATACAGTGATATTACATAATTAATTTTTCATCTTAGGAAGGTCCCGAAGATATGCATACTATTGACAGTTGCGAGTATATTTGGCAGTCTGGCGTGGGATTTGCTCAAGCACCGGCAGTAAATGCCATTCATGATTCCAACCGGACAGAAATTCTCAAACTTATTTTAACTTGTTTCTCTGAGACTGTGTATTTGGAACAAGAGGAGGCTCACCATTTTGAGAATAGATGGGTTACATTTCTTACAAGTACAGGGAATCGTCATGCATTACCATTATTTGCTTCTCTGTTAAACGTTGTATGTGCATATGATCCAGTTGGTCTAGGTGTACCGTACAATCACCTTATGTTTTCTGATTCACGTGAACCTTTAGTTGAAGTAGCTTTACAGGTAAATAAATGATTCGGTTTTTTCTAGTTTTTTAAAATTTATAAAAAAACCTAAACGTATACTATTCGTTAATTCATCCAAATAGGCAAACAAATTTTCACCGTTTAATACTTCCTTTAACATTATAAAAATTGAGAACACTTCATATTGGGCAAGTCTTTACATTTCAAAGATAACTGTTGAGTTTTCCCAGTAGCTAAAACAACAAGAGTACAAAGTAATTTTCTTCGCTAAACCATCCGTTGATCCAACACATGTAAATGTGGTTGTTATATAACCAATTTCATGTTCACAACGACGGATAGATTGTAGTGTAATTGTTTTTAAATGTTAAAACTCGTTTTTGTCTTATATTTATTTGGAAAACTATTTGTTCCCTGTAGATCCTGTGTATAACTTTAGAACCTGATCATATGATATCAAGTCCTACGTATTCAAACGCATCATTTCGGGACTTAAACTGTTCCAATAACCATCCTTGTTCAGATGTTGATGAACAGTTAAGCTTAAATGGTACTGGGATGACTAGCCAAACTGGTGGAAATGAGGATGCATGGAATAACGAGATGAATCTGTTTGTAAATTACATGTCTCGTATACACAGAGATGAGGTTAGTTTTATTTCAGTGATGTCATTTTGTTCTGATACACTATTTAGCCATCTGCCGTTTGTTTGGCATTGTTAGTCAACCAGTGAAAAACATTGTCTTTAACTATCATCGACTAGTTTTTTTTGAAGTACTTCACATTCTCATTAAACAGATCTTTCGACGGCATATAGCTTAGGCCGTTTTGCGATTTCAATAACCTTACTAGTGTTTTTTTAAATTTCATAACAGATATCTGTACTTCAATACCCTTCAAGCTTACTAAGTAATCTTTTCATCCTCTTGACATCGAGCTGTTATTGGTTAACTGCTTTTGCCTTAAATTTCATACTTTTAAATCCATAGAATAAAAGTCAATTAAATGGGTATAGTTTTAAACAAAGGTCGTAAGTCGATTTTTTCATGGATTAGTCGTAAATGCATCCAACTTCCAACTGTCGAGTAACAGTCTTTAATTCAGTTTAAAAATTTAAATAGTGACGCTAGCTCTGACACAATATCTAGTTTCAAACCACGTAAACTAGTAACAAAACTCAGTTGGTAAATGTAAGTTTATTTATTCATTTTTGTGCGATACATTTGGGCGACAACATTAATAAGCAATTTGGATCTGATGCAGATATAAAGGCACAGATTGTGAGAGCAAAGGTAGCATTTCTTCAGTTGATAGTTTTTGTATGTGATTATTTTTATTGCCACCTGGTCGCTGAAACTAGTCGCTGATTGGATTTATACCTACAATCCGTTAGTTTAAGAGTGAGCATTTATTGAGTTAGATATTTCAGATTGATTATGAAATAAAATGGTACTTATTTAGGAAATTATAGTTCATATAGTTGAAGTTCTCAAAACGTTAACTATAAATCAGCGAAGTTAGGTCTTCTATAAAGCATATATTGTTTATCTCAGCTTTAAATCATAAATACCATTTCATTCAAAATGACGTATTCTCTATCTTACTCCTGAACTTAAATTTCAGTTTATCATCACGCATCCCTTCCCACTCTATCTTTAAAAACCATATTCTCAACGTTTAGTCTTTCTGATTATCATTGCTACTACATTATTTTGATCGTTTTGTTATTCATCTTACCATGCTAACGTTGTCTGGCAGGTTGTTTCAGGGGCTGACCTACCAGGAAAAATCGCTTGCTGACTGAGAATATGCCGATGACATAGTTCTATTCGGTGAAGACGCTGACAAAATGCAGTCTTCTGACTACCGTAAGCAACAATGTGAGCATGTTTGGGATGCTGTTTTCCTGCTCAAAATGCAAAATGTTGCTTCAACACTGGGTTGCATCGGCACCTGAACTAGTGATAGGGAGTGATGTAGTCGAACATGTAGACCGATTCACTTATCTCGGGAGTATCATCAGTGCTGATGGCCTGGTGACTGACGAAATCTCAGCATGGATACAGAAAGCTCGATTGGCTTTTGCCAACTTGCGCCACTTATGGCGTAGGCGCGATATCCGTCTGCTAACCAATGGACTGTGTACTGTTCAGCAGTTTGCTCCTTCCTACCATACGGGTGCGAAACATGGTCAGTCATAGTTGGAGGTATTCTTAGGTTGTTGCTTTTCGATCATAGGTGTCTCCGAAGTATTGCTCGTGTATCTTGGGAGAACCGAGTAAGCAATGCGGTTGTTAGGAAACGGGTCCTAGGTAAGGATGGCAGGTCAATTGATGAAATAGTGAAACCTCATCAGTTGAGGTGGTTGGGACATGTGTTACGTATGCCTAATCATCGACTGCCTCGTTGAGCTGTGCTCTGCGATATAGGAATAGGTTGGACGAAAGCTAGGGGCCGCCAGACCAAAACATGGCAGAAATCCATGCAGTCACTGACAAGTGGACTGAGTCATGTTGGTAGGTGTAAACTACCTTGTTGATAATAATCGAAGGTTAGATACCCTGAATGACATGGCTCAAGACCTTTTGCGATGGTGCAGGTGCATCCATTCTTTGTGTTCTCCCATGTCCTAAACTTCTGAATTCTTCATCATCTTTATCTTTTTCTTTTAAGTTTATTTCACCAGATTCTACTTGTTGAATAATATCGTCGAACCCTAATCTTTTTGGTTACTTCTAATACTTTCACTACGTCTACTACTATTGGATTTGAATTGACGATTTCGTCTCTGTGCCAATGTGGTATGGCAACTTGAACTGATGTACGTACTTATGAAGTTCTATGTTGTTATTGACTGACTTAGTAAGGTAAGGAACCTGCCTTGTATGCACAGTCACGGAAAATTTAAGAGCTCTGGACAGCTGTGGTATCCTACTTAGTATAGGACTCATGAGTAGTGAGCATTCATGATCCAATCATAAGAAATCGAACATGGACCCTTCGTTTCTAGCGGAAATGCTCCTAACCTGTACACCAGTAGCCAGAATCCTATTATGTCCATGGCTAATTCTAAATTGTCTATACTGACATGTTTTAATATCCATCAAAATCAAATGTTTTAGGTTATTTTATCTCTGTCTTCTTCACTTTTTTATTACTTAACAAGGATTTTGCATTTATACTCTCTGGAATAACTCGTTTATTGAATAATCCATTAGTACAAACATATCTGCCTGGATCCAGTAAAAAAGTTCAAATACATCAAGAACTTTTGGTACTTTTTTGGCGAATATGTGAATGTAATAAGAAATTTATGTATTATGTGTTAAAATCAAGTCAAGTATTAGATTTACTTGTACCTATACTTTACCATCTCAATAATTCTCGTAATGATCAATGTAAGTTTTTTAAATATTACTATTGAGAGATATGTTTGATTATTATTATTATTATTATTATTATTATTATTATTATTATTATTATTATTATAACAATATATATGGCTTGTTTAAACATGAACTATTGAATATTAAAAGGCTTTTTTTGATATCTAAAATATACCTAAGGCATGAGTCATACTCATAATTTAAACCATTCTCTTGAATATAAAATATTGATTTGTACTCGATATGTTCTTAGTTATCATTATTAGCTTCGTTGATTTTGTTTACTCTGCATATGCTTTTGTTGTTTTCGAACGCACACTTGATACTATTTTGTTAAATCTTTAATTATTTCAAATTACTCGATATAATTCAACATCACTAACAGTATTACAACAATCTACAATAAACTAAAATAATACTAAAGTGACTGTCGAAGTATTGTTGTTATCTTCCTTTATATGAGAAACAATTTGCTCTATTGGTGAGGTCTCTACAAGTACATTCCGAAGTTCACGAAATGTTTCAAAAATGTCTTTTCAATGGATTTATTATTCATTCGTATAATCATAAATATATGATTATAGTTTACGTTGGCTGAAGATTAGAACGCGAGATAGAAAAAATTATAATCCGAATTTTGGTTGGTGACTTTAGCACATGATATCAATTATCGTTTCAGGTCATAACAGGCAGTTTTAGCAACCCTAGATTTTCTTATACTGCTTAATTTAGTAACTACCATTTACCTACACTAACAAACGTATTCTGTTTCGTACGACTTTTGTGTATGAAAATACTATTCAGCCGTTTAAAGTGAAGTAAATTGGGGCTGCGATTGAAGTCTGTAACCTAACGTTTAGAAGTTATGTAATCTAACCATTAATTTTTTCACACCAGTATTCAGACATCAGCACCTCTACCTTTGTTTTTCTAACCTTATCTCACTGAATTATACTTCTTGAATAATATCTTCAAACCCTAGTCTTCTTCATTACCATTAATACCTCTACTATGTTTATCACTATGGGATTTGATTTGACATTTGCGTCTCTGTGCTAATGTGGTGTGGCAAAATGAACTTATGTACATACGTACGAAGTTCTACGTTGCAACTGACTGACTGCTTACCTTATTTGCCTAGAATTACGAAGTTCATTAGATACTACTGTTTGGGACATCTTTTTATTTCTACACTACTTCAGAAAATTCACAGTATAAAATACTTTATATATATATATATTTTTTTTTTTTCTGATGAGTTCTATATTTGCACAATTAACGATATGCACTGCGTACAACCACTCTCAAATCCTTTCATCATAATATTATTGATTTCTATTTCTTTCAGCTCGTATGGGATTAATACATGTCGGTGTATTCATTCTATTATTACTCAGTGGTGAACGAAATTTCGGTGTACGTTTAAATAAACCCTATCGTCATCGTGCCTTATTAAATGTTCCAGTTTTCACAGGGACACATGCTGATCTATTAGTCATAGTATGTAGTAAATTATTATTATCACTATCATTATAATCCATTAAAAAAAAGCATTTTTTCATTCAGTTATTCGTAGTTATATAAGTAATTTTTGTAGTAGGATATTAAAGGTGTATTTTCTTCTACTCATTGAATCATTCTTCGTGAGTTTTGTTTGATAAGCTTAATGATTTCGTTGGAGATGATTTATTCAACATAATATTGAAATTTATTCATTAAGTCATTAGTTATATTACATTAACTTATCTATGTAGCTGGTTTCTCAACAATCATTGTCCATAGTCACTGATAAATAAGATCGCCTTTGTACGTATAAACATGTACGTCGTCGATAAATTCAATTAAATTGAGTTGCACAATGATTTATAGTTTAGCAAGAAGGGGACAAATCGATAATTAAGTCGATATATATATATATATATATATGTATAATTCATACCGTTTATCAATCAGGAGACACTAAACAGCTGTTTCATTCTTGTATGAAATTTTTTATCAGTGTAGACCTACCACCTGTCCAGTAATTGAGCTTAAAATTTCCTTTGGTCATGTTACTTATGTGCAGTAGTCAGCAGAGTTCAATCATTATGAGAAAACCATCAACCATGGCAGGGAATAACAATCACATAATGTCGCTAATCATTTGAAAGTGAAAATGTGAATCAATGAACGTCAACGCAATGGTGTATAAGCTTAAAGATTCATATTTTTATTTTCTCTAAGGTCCTAGGTGCATCCATCTATATAGTTCCTCGGTGCCTCGGTACAGCCGCAAGTGGAGAGAGAGCACTTTCTTTCTCGAAATTCTACTACTAGGTAGTTCCTACTCACTAACTTCTCGCAGCGAGAATATTTAGAAAAATCGGGAGATTGGCGCGTATGGAGGATCCAGCTATAACAGTTAAAAAACCCTGATGCAAAACTCAAACCAATAGTGCACATTGGTTTCAGGATTCTGAAGGAACAAATGGCGTATAAACCTATTGTTAATAACTGGCTCCCTCGAGACTGCATCTGCCAACGTCGCTCCATGGCCTTGTGGATTAGACCTGTAGGTGGAAGGCCCGGAGAGAGGTCTCCTAGGAGAACGACTTGCTTCGGTCTGAAGCAAGTTCGTTGACTTGAGCAGGACATAAATATTTAAGTGCCTCTTTGTCTCAATAATAATATGTTCAAATAAATAAAATTGGTTCTCCAACAACAGATACTCTTATGTAATCCAAAATGGTTTATTGTTTTAAAGCCATGTAAGCTGGGCTTCAGTCTCCATGATACATTTTGATTCATTCACAGTTGATATAGAATCTGAAAGCTGATTGTTTTCAGAGTTATCAAAATACATTTACTAATAACTGTCTATTCACACTAACTAGTTAGTTAGTTTCACTATTACAATTCATGGCATTTGTACAAATTATTATCATCATTTGATATTCGGTCCTTTTTTAATGGTGCTTTCTTATCGGTTTAGTTTCTTTTCTTTTTGCCACCTGACAATTTATTTTCTTTCAACTGTATAAAATTCATGATTGGTTGCCATTATTATTATCACTATTATTATTATTATTATTATTGCTGTAGGTTTCTCACAGATTAATTACAAGTGGACATCATCGTCTAAATCCTTTATTTGATTGTTTGCTAACAATCATCGCTAACGGTAAGCTGACGTTTATATTTTGTTTTAAAACGCTCACCATATATATATATATATATATATATATATATATATATATATATATATATATATATATATATCTTGTCTTATAGTTTTTACTCAATATTCGGGTTGGGATAATCGGATTTGACTAGCATGTCGTGTCGTCAGGTCCTCTATCCTCGCTCTCGCGTTTCCGACTAGGTAACTCGTAATAGTTAAGCATATCAAGCTGACGTGTTTACGTGCAGGCATAACACCATCCCTACCTAGAACTCGTTTCCTAACGACAGCATTGCTTATACGGTTGTACCAGGATACACGAGCAATACTTTGGAGACACATACGATCGAAGACTAGTAACCTACGAAAGTCCTCCACTCTTAACGGCCATGCTTCACAGCCATATATTACGGCGGGGCGAACTGCTGTACAGTACACTCGTCCTTTGGTTAGCGAGCGGATATCGCGCCTACGCCATAAGTGACGCAAGTTGGCAAAAGCCAATCGAGCTTTCTGTATCCATGCTGAGATTTCGTCAGTCACCAGGCCATCAGCACTGATGATACTCCCGAGATAAGTGAATCGGTCTACATGTTCGACTACATCACTCCCTATCACTAGTTCAGGTGCCGATGCAACCCAGTGTTGAAGCAACATTTTGCATTTTGAGCAGGAAAACAGCATCCCAAACATGCTCACATTGTTGCTTATGGTAGTCAGAAGACTCTGCATTTTGTCAGCATCTTCACCAAGTAGGACTATGTCATCGGCATATTCTAAGTCAATAAGCGAGCCACATGGTAGAAGGTCCATTCCTGAAAATTCAGGCAAGGATTAGGTAATATCTAGGAGCATGTCTATGAAAAAATTGAACAAGAATGGAGAAAGTGGACATCCCTGACGGACACCACTTGAAGTAGAGAATTCCGATGACAGTTCGCCATAAGCTCTCACTCGACCTGTAGTATTCGAGTAGAGAGCTTGTGTAAGGTTGACGTACTTCTTTGGTTCACCTTTCGTTGACAGACACTGCCACAGAATTTCACGATCCACTTAGTCAAATGCCGCTTTTAGGTCCAGGAAGACAACTAATGTAGGACGCTTAAATGTGTATCTATGTTCCAGGACCTGTCGTAGTGTGAAGACGTGGTCTATACAACCTCGTCCAGGTCTGAAACCAGACTGGTTTTCTCTAGTCTGCTCTTCACGAGCTCTAGTTAGGCGTTTAAGGATAATCGAGGCTAACAATTTAGAAACTATATTGGTTAGACCTATTCTTCTGTGTCTGTCCTTTTTTTCTTTCTTATAAATTGAGACCAGATGGATGGGATTACGTCCAGTTGCCAAATTCTACTTAAGTTTTCAGTCAACCTAGCTGCTAAAACTGGACCACTATCCTTAAAAATCTCAGGAGTCAGTCAATTAAGTCCTGTTGCTATCTCTTACTTCAGATATTCTGTAGCTTTCTGAACTTCATAGAGTTTCGGATGACTTCCGTCGACTTGCCATTCAGGATGACGTACACAGGTCTCTAAGACCAACACTAATCTACCTTCTTTATCAGGTCCATCAAGAAACAACGGGGAAGTGACAACCGCCGAATAGGTCACTATCAAACCCATTTAATGTACGTACATTATATCAAATAGGGCAACAGGCTTCCTTAGCTAGAACATTAGAATCTCGCTCAGTCGATGTATGCTGCGTCTCGGAAACGCGCATACAGGATCCTAGTAAAATTATTAATCTGATTTCACCTTGTCAAAATAAAGAAGCAGACCAATTTACTCTTCGTGTATCCAGGATCCCTGATGCTGCTTTCAGGGGTCTCGCTGGTGTAGGTATAGTATTGAGTCGCAGGGCAGAACTATCTCTCCTAGACTGGATCCCAGTAGATAATCGCTTGTGCGCTGTCCGACTAAATGGCACAGTAAGGATTCGAAAGGATAAGGAAACTCGTCCTTGCCTCTTCGTCATATCAGCCTACACCCCCACTGACTCCAGTTCAGACGAGGTGAAAGATGAGTTCCACAGAAAGCTTTCGGATCTCCTCCAAAATGTTAAGCGCTCTGATATAGTTCTAATGGCTGGTGACTTCAATGCTCAAGTAGGTAGACTAAGCGAGAATGAAAGACACCTTGGTGGATGTTATGGTGTCGCGGCTCAAAGAACACACAATGTCGACCGTCTGTTGCAACTATGCTCAGATAACCGCCTATTCTTAGCAAACACTAACTTTAGGCATAAGGAAAAGCACCTTTTGACCTGGCGACCCCCAAAGTCGTCTCAAAGTTGGACCCAACTAGATCACATCGCCATCAGCCACCGATGGAGAGGTTCGATAAAGGACTGTCGCTCGTTCTGGGTACATGTTTAGTTTAAGATCATGCCCTAGTGCGAGCGCATCTGTTTGAGGCTTACTGGACGAAGGAAAGAAACCGTATAAAGTCTCTTAGGGTTTTACTTAATGATAATAAGGCGCAGGCTGATAAAAAGCCACTAGGTATTTCACTATTGTTCTGTTGACCACTTATTCAGAATTTTTGTTAAAGTAATTCTTGTATCCTATTCTATTTGTATGCTTGTTTTCTTTAATAAAAAATCTTTTCTTTTTAACTAGTTTCTCCTTATTTAAAAAGTTTATCAATGGTATCATCAAATAAACTATTACATTTATTGGATGCATTCAGTCAACCATGGTTTCTGTACAGTAATCCATCAAATCATCGATCGGTCTTCCTATTATTAGAAGTATTCAACAATATTATTCAATATCAGTTTGATGGTAAGCCAGTGTGAATTGTAAATCCTTGTTTTCATATGAGGGCTGGTGAATATCATTTAATATATCAAACTGAGTGCAGTGGTTGTTCTAATGTACAACCCAGTGGTGGCTGTAAGTTCAATCGTTTTATCACAAAGCTAGCTACCTTCGTCAAAATATAGTATCTGCTTTTCTGTAAATTCTTTAGTGCCCTGATATGATTCTGTCTTAGTAGAACCCAGCTATTCTTATTGCCTAGTATTCTCGGACATCAATCCACTCATCAAGTCCCCAAATCAGAACACGGTTGAGCAGAGAAGAGATTATATTCCAAATAGCAAGGTTAAATGGAAGTAAGAAGCCGAAGCAAAGGCGAAATAGGAGCGACGGTAGTATCTTTATAGTTTTTACATGAGAAGCTTCTAGAGTGTTCTCCAAGTATCAACTAGCGCTGCTTGGATAAAAATTAGGCAATCAATGTGCAGTTAACGTAGTCATGCCTTAATCCATTTATGTCCCGCTAACAGTGAACCAAAAAATTAAGCAATGCTATTCGGGTTGTAAATATCGTGAATGATATCTGGTTCTGTCGAAAATTAGCCTCTTTCAAAGCATATTTATAATTATGACTTTTTTCGAGTAGTAGTGACTGATTGGTTAAAAAGTTCGTCTTTCAGCTACTAAGTTTCAGGTTTCGATCCGAGCTACACCTTTCTTTGGTGTTTGCAACTCCGTAGAATCACTACAATTCACACGTATAATGTGACTCAAGGAAGATTATATGAATCTATATCTAGTAAATGAGTTAATGATCCGGTGTTTCAGTTATTTTTAGCTGTTAAATTTGAAGAACCTGTCAGACAGACAGATACAACGCAAAACCTGAGCTTTATATTTGTTTGTTAATCGTTTTGTGGCATGAACTTCTCCTATATTTTGCTTTAATTTTTTATTCGTTTTTCTATTTCTTTCTAGGTAATAGCAACTTAGTATACACTTTAATTAGGAAACGTCAAATTTTCTATCGACTAGCTGATTTACCCACTGATCAATCTACTATTGATAATATCATTAATAAACAAATGAAATCTCGAAGTGGTGGTCATATTACAGTAGATTCTACTAATACTACTACCACTACTACTGCTCCTTCTTGTGTTTTATCCCGAACATCCAGCAGCAGTGATGAGATTAAGGAGTTTCCTGATGGCTCTGCTGTTTGTAAACCTGTAGCAATATCGAAAACTTCGAAATTGTCGTCTTCTTTCACACATTCACCAGTTGAATCATCAGTTCATCATGGTGATGATATGGATAATTCAAACCCAATCAAGTCCACGAATCAAGTATCTTCTCAGGTTTGTTTTGTGTCTTTTATGTATTATATGGAGTGAAAATGGAAATTTCCATGTTCATTGAATTGTTTATATTTTTAAACGGAATGATTTTGTACACAAAATCTCTATTAGTAAATAGCAAAGTTACTTTTAAGTTCTTCGGAACAGGTACCCAATCGATCTAGCTTTCTTTTAGTTAAAAATATCAACTTCAGTTAAGAAAAAAACAAAGAAATCAAACAACAACTTGCTCTAAATGTATATCTTAACACTGCCACTATCTTTACACCTAGTAGTGCTAATGAAGGAGGGCATAAGGATTTGAACCGATGTGTACACGTACCAGGTAACAATTTTATGCTTTTGATTAGTACATATTAATAATAAGTAAAATGATCTGTGCATCTAACTGTGCCAATCAGTTACTGTGTTTAGTAACACTTAGATATTCACTGAAATCAGTACTCTCTACATAATGACAAATAATTTTTCTTTAAGTAATTACAAGTGATATGTTTTGTTCAGTTCAACGCTTTATATTCAACCCATTCGTTCATTAGTTTTGTAAATAATTTCATTATTCGGTTACATATCTTAAACGAAAACTGATCAGTTTTGTGCATTTTTTTCCATTATTTATTTATTTTAATTATAACACGTTTTGACAAGTAATAAAAAATTGCAGATAGTATTAGGTGGGAATAAACTATCTTACGTTTGACGTATCATATGCATAATATTCTATCATTTAAACTTCTACTGTAGCGGCTTACATCTAGCCAAAAAGTAGGTGGATATCTTGCATACTAGGGGAACGTACAGGGTATCATAAGGGAGGAAAATTAGATAAACGAAATGAAAAACGAAAATGTGAGCCAACGACATAGTGCGCTTACATCTAATAATGATAACAAGAAACAGTATTCAACAACAACAACTCAAGCCTCAGATTAAGAGGATTCGGTAAACGAAAACGAAATCGGATAGCGTGGAGATTTTAAACTGTTACACCTGCTAAGGTTAGCTATATGAATTGAAATTTGTCTGTATTTAATTTTCTCTAGGAAGTTTTTTCTAATAAAGTGCCTCAATTTTCCAATATTTCAAGCAATACATACTTCTGTTATCATGAGTAGTATTCCATAATATTATATCGATAGATACTGAACGATATAGAATTGATTACTATTATCTGATCTGTAATCACATTTATAAGAATATCCATTAATATTTAAACGAGTAGTATAACAAATATTGGTCGCCAAATATATAAGATACATTATATTTTAGATAAAAACCGTCAAAAACGAAGGAAAAACTAAATTAAAGTGTATACAGAGAGCAAGCAAGAATATCATTGTCATCTCATACCGTAAAGAAACATCGTAGGAAATTAAGAAGATTCTAAATAAGCTTAATGTAAGAGTTACTTTCGTGCCAGTGATACCAGATGATCTACATTAGTGAAAGTTAACGGTAGACCTTTAAAGGAAGAACAACAGAATGTTGTCTATGAGATCAGTTGTCAGAAGCGCAATACAGTTTATGTGGTTGAAACATCTAGAAGGTTGAGCATGATGTTGGAGCGACACAAAACAGTGTTTGAAATATGTTTCCTAAACCTCTGTTGATCGCAAGAAATTGGAAAATAAATTGACAGTAGTGTTACATGCATCAGAAACAGGACTGAAGACCATCTTTGATAGGACCAAAACACTTCAGAAAAGGCGCATAACACATAATGAACGATCGACAATAGAAGTGATGTATAATATGGGCTAAACAGAAAAGATTGTATTCAACTAGCCAACCTAGGGTGAATGACCATTCACTAGGGATTGGACTTCATCTCTACCTGTTGGGGATGTTAGATCCCCAAAATTCGCTTGATAATGCCGTATTTTGGTTTTTACGTTTCGCCAGCATGGGCTGATCAAATGACCTTGAGATTTCAATTCCCACCAGCAAAATCAATGGCTGTGATTGGCTACAGTGTATTTTAGTATGCTATTTTCTTAACTGTCTCAAGGACGTTGTTATGTTGTATAAATAAACGAGAGTTGTATGCTTGATTGTACTGGGATTGCTGGGTGCTTGTAGAATATACTTTTTACGCTTACAAAGTCTTCTATTCGATTCTGGGATTCAGGGTAGCCTTCCTGGAAGCTGGTAAAAGTCTCGTTCGCGTTTATCGACTAAGGTAAACTCGTAATAGCCTCAAGCATCCTAAGTGACGAACATATCAGTGGCGACGGGGCTCACAATTCACAATGTCAATTAATCTTGAACAGTTAGAATCTTTACTGGAACGTCAAGGTAAACGATATGAACAGTTCCAGGAACGTATGTTGGAGCTGTTAATGAAACAAATGAATTTGAATCACAGAGGTTTTGCCGATGATTCATATAATCCGCATACAGACTCGATAGTTAATTCCATTCATGAATTTCATTTTGATGGCCTTGCTGGTGTGACTTTCGAGTCTTGGTTTAAGAAGTATGAGGATTTGTTCAAGGTCGACCTCAACAATCTTGATGACGCCACCAAAGTCAGAATCCTTTTGAGAAAGCTCGGCACAATCGAACACGAACGTTATAGTAATTTCATCCTCCCAAAGAACCCACGAGATTTCTCTTTTGATGCTACAATTGATACGCTGTCGCAAATCTTCTCTGAACAGTCATCTCTCTTTAATATTCGTTATCAATGCCTCAAAATAATCAAGTCAAATGAAGATGACTGGGTAAAGCATGCTGGCTTAGTAAATCGTGAATGCGAACGATTTAAATTATCATCAATGACGGAAGATCAGTTTAAGTGCCTTGTGTTTGTGTGCAGCTTACAATCTCCCGACGATGCTGATATAAGAACCAGAATCCTAAGTAAAATTGAACAGTGCCCAAACATCTCGCTTCAAGAAATAACTGCAGAGTGCCAGAGATTAGTAAACTTGAAGCATGATACCTCCATGGTCGAAAACAAGGGCCTCTCATCATACGTGCATTCCATTAGTGAAAAGAAAAATTCCAATTCTGCCCAAAAACCCAAAATGAATCCACCTTCTGCTTGCTGGCACTGCGGTTCATGGCACTATGTACGGAACTGCCCATTTAGGCAGCATAGATGCAGGAAGTGTAAAGTCATCGGTCATAAAGATGGCTTTTGCCTACAGAAAAAGCCGAAGCGATCCAGAAGTGCTAAGAAGCCTGTTCCTAGATCTAGTACCAATGCATTGAGCCTAATATCTTCCTGCCAAAGCTCATCACCAGGTGAGAGGAAATTTATTACTCTTAATATTAACGGTTATTTGTGTAGAATGCAAATAGATACTGCATCTGATATCACTATCCTCTCACGCAAAAATTGGACCAAATTGGGCAGCCCAAGCCTGCAGCACACAACACAAAAGCCTCGTACAGCATGTGGTAATTATCTTCGTCTGTTAGGACAATTGGAATGTAAAGTTGCTTTCCGAGATTCGTCGTTTACTGGGGTATGCTATATAACGCCAGCTGATCTAAATTTACTTGGTTTAGATTGGTTCGACCAGCTAAAATTGGCTGATGTCCCGCTAAATACCATATGCAACCTGGTATCACAACGACATGACCCAGAAGCGTATACGAAGAACCACGCAGAATGTTATCTGACAACCGCAGTTCGCGCATTACCGGTGTCTGCAACAGACATACAAAATGCTTCTAGAAACGACCCCATCATCAAGATGACGATGAAATATGTCACTAACGGTTGGCCGTCGAAAAAGTTTGAAGGTGACATGAAGCAACTGTATCAGCGGCGGGAGTCACTATGCATCGTCAACGATTGTCTGATGTTTGGTGAAAGAGTAGTGGTGCCAGAATCCCTTCGTGCAAAAGTGCTGAGACAGTTCCATCTTGGTCATCCTGGGATTAAACGAATGAAGTCCATAGCCAGGAGTTATGCATACTGGCCTCACATGGATCAACATGTCACAGCGTTGGTTGAAAAATGCATGCGGTGTCAGCAGGCGGCAAAGATGAATGCCAAAATTCCGCCGGTTTCATGGCCCAAACCTGAGCATCCTTGGTCCAGGATACATGTCGACTTCGCTGGCCCAATAAATGGAACTATGTATTTAATTGTCGTCGACGCCTTTTCTAAATGGCCGGAAATCAGCCCCGTTATGCCGCCCACTACAACTAAGACTATACAGCTCCTTTCTGAAATTTTCTCACGAAATGGCATACCAGATGTGATCGTATCCGACAATGGCTCTCAATTCACCTCTTCCCAATTCCAGAATTTCTGTCAACGGCTAGCAATTAAACACTTACGCTCGCCACCATACCAGCAAGCTGTTCTTCGTTCCCGAAGGTATCCCCTCAGACAGCGGCGAACAATAGTCAAGATGCAAGTCGACCCCAGGAGAACGCGCTATTAAAAAGGGGAGGAGTGTTAGGGATGTTAGATCCCCAAAATTCGCTTGATAATGCCGTATTTTGGTTTTTACGTTTCGCCAGCATGGGCTGATCAGTTGACCTTGAGGTTTCATTTCCCACTAGGAAAATCCATGGCTGTGATTGGCTGCTGTGTATTTTAGTATGCTATTTTCTTAACTGTCTCAAGGACGTTGTTATGTTGTATAAATAAACGAGAGTTGTATGCTTGATTGTACTGGGATTGCTGGGTGCTTGTAGAATATACTTTTTACGCTTACAAAGTCTTCTATTCGATTCTGGGATTCAGGGTAGCCTTCCTGGAAGCTGGTAAAAGTCTCGTTCGCGTTTATCGACTAAGGTAAACTCGTAATAGCCTCAAGCATCCTAAGTGACGAACTTATCACTACCCACCTTGTTTAATTCACATATAACTAATGGAACGGTAATTAATTAATGATAAAATTTTGTGCATCACAACTATGTAATTGATAATTCTCAGTTTACTTTTAAAAAACATTTTTTGTTTACGTTAACTAGACGAATAACTGACACTCATTCATCGAATATCAACTATTAACAACATTAATTTATACATACACATATTCATTTACTTTTCACATTGTGAACATCTCACGTGTTTCACATCTCAAATAGGACTCATGTTATCCTACTTACCAAAGTCAACATCTGAATATGATTGGATAACCATTTAGTGTAAACTTGATCAGCATCGTCATTCATATTGTTGTCCTTGTCACTAAATTTTTCAGAGTTTATCGACAGATCATCCTTTTTTTGCATGACATAGCGTTGTGTCCGAATCCATGTTAGTTCGATCATTTGTACAATCTAAAGGATAGTTTCTTGGCATTTTTCAAATCAATAAACATGGAGGCTTTGATAGTAGGCCTATCTCCTGTTGATAACTTCTAATATGTTTTGACCATCTTTCCATAAAGCAAGCTGTATTACATTGACCTTCAAACAGATATTGCGCTAGTGAATACGGATGGCCGGACTTGTTGGACAGAGAAATAGTTTTCTACAGTACTATTTGCGTGGTTAATGTCCGACCACCCTATGCAAGAATGCAAGCATTTTCGGGATGTGGTTCTCATTTTCGAAATGAAAAATGTTGCTTCAACACTGGGTTGCATCGGCACCTGAACTAGTGACAGGGAGTGATATAGTCGAACATGTAGACCGATTCACTTATCTCGGGAGTCTCATCAGCGCTGATGGCCTGGTGACTGACGAAATCTCAGCTCGGATACAGAAGGATCGATGGGTTTTGCAAACAAGCGTCACTTATGGCGCAGACGAGATTTTCGTTTGCTGACTAAAGGATGAGTGCACTGCGCAGTAGTTCGCTCCGTCCTACTTTATGGCTGTGAAACATGGCCAGTCAGAGTAGAAGATATTCGTAGGTTGCTTGTTCTCGATCATAGGTTTCTCCGAAGCATTGCTTGTGTATCCTGGGACAACCGAGTAAACAATGCTGTTGTTAGGAAACGGGTCCTAGGTAAGGGTGGCAGGTCAATAGATATAGTATTGAAACTGCATCAGTTGACGTGGTTGAGAGTCAGTCAGTCAGTTACAACGCTGAACTTTGTACTTACGTACATAAACGTGTACTAGGTAGGGACGGCAAATCAATAGATGAAGTAGTGGAACTTCATCAGTTGAGGTGGTTGGGACATGTGTTACTTATGCCCAAACACCGACTTCTTCCTCGAACTATGTTCTGCGATATAGGAATAGGTTGGACGTAAGGTAGGGGCGACCAGACAAAAACATGGCAGAAATCCATGAAGTCACTGACAAGTGGAATGAGTCATGTTGGTAGATGTAGACTATCTGGTTGGGGTCCGCGAGATGTTAGTAATCGAAGGTTAGATACCCTGAATGACATGTCTCAAAACCGTTTTGCAATGGTTCAGGTGCATCTACTCTTTGTGTTTTATGAAATTCTAACCTTACGAATTCCTCATCGCCTTTATCTTTCTTTTTCTGAATTTACATCATTGAATTATACTTGTTGAATAACATCTTTGCACCCTAATGTCTCAGAATACTTCTAATACTTTACTATGTCTACTACTATTGGATTTGAATTGATAATTACATCTCTGTGCTAATGTGGTATGGCAACATGAACTGATGTACCTACGTACGAAGTTCTACATTGCTATTGATTGATTGATTGATTGATTGGTCAATGCCTGACAACAACCAAAATACAGTTTTGCTGGCGAGAAAAACACTACTCAAAATGTTCTCATAAATTGTAGTTATTTGCTTCGAATTTCCAGTGATTTTTATAATAGTATACCGTTTGTTCTTTTGCTGATTTTTTAAAAATATAGCTGAATGAACTCAACATTAATAAACCTAATAATTCAATCCAAACCAGTCTGGCAGATGTTCCGCCATTACACAAAATGACAGATAAGCGTTTAGGCAATGCTACTCAAATAGATGAACGTTTCTCAAATTCATTAAATTATCGTGCAGCAATTGAAAATAATTTAATTTCGCATTCGTCGCCCAGTCAACGTGTTCCAGTTGATAGTAGTAATAATAATGATAGTAATAACAAAGAGTCAGATACAGATTTAACAATACATGGCGTTGGAGAATACCCAATGAACAGATCTGGAATATCGAAGAGTTCTGTAAGTTATTCTTTTTTCTGTCTGCTTCTGTTATCAGTCAGTTAGTTAGTTACAACGTAGAACTTTATACGTACGTACATAAGTTCTTGTTACCATACCACATCAGCACAGAGCCGCAACTGTCAGTTCACATTTCATAGGGGTAGAGATAGTAAAATTATTAGTGGTAATGATGAAGAGTAAGGTTCAACGATATTATTTCTGATAAATTCGGAAAAAGAAAAATAGAGGTGATGAGGAATTCAGAAGATTAGCTGCTGCCTTGACGTGCTGTGGTCGGGCTTGCCTATCATGGTGATCCAACCGAGTTATATTGACTGGAACATATGTTCCTGCAGGTCCTACCATGCCCGGTAGGTCGACTGGAGAACGATGAAACTAAAAGCAGCTACCCAAGTTCTGAGAGCGAAATCGTACTGCTGACTGTAGAGGGGTGTGACAGCAGTAAGGTGTTTCCCTCGGACAACCAGCATCTGCAGCGATGCAACCTTCCCACAAGGAAGGAATGGTTAGAAAAGGTCGACCCTAAAAATGTCACAACTCACCCTACCTCATGGATTTCCGTCTCCGGCGTTAAGGCTTTTTAAACAAAAGCGGAGCTCATACTTTAAAAACTAATCATAAAATGCCGTGCGTGAACGATCTGAGGCAATTGTCCTATGAGCTCTGCGGTCACCGGCCAGGTCTCCTGGACTTTCCCTCTCAGGATCCTCGAGAAGCACCCTTCCACAGTGTGAGCAGCCGGGAAATAACAACTGCCCTTATACCCAAAAAGAAGGATTGGTCGAGGAGATAAGATAGATTTTAGGGGGTGTAGAAAGGATTGGTTTGCGATCAATTTGATCTCATGTGCTGTTACGGTAATGAGGGCGGTTGTCACTTCCCAAATGCCCATACCGTGGAAGGTTGTTTCTTGAGGGACCTGAAAAGGAAAATAGATTAGAGTTGGTCTTAGAGACCTGGGAGCGTGACCTCAGTGCTCAAGGGACAACTGCTTGAGTCCAGTCTAGCACGGCCTTTTTATGAGTAGCTTTTATAGTATTAGCCCTTATTGGGCACCCTTACCACCGAGACGGAAATCCATGAGGTAGGGTGAGTTGTGACATTTTTAGGGTCGACCTTTTCTAACCATTCCTTCCTTGTGAGAAGGTTGCATCGCTGCAGATGCTGGTTGTCCGAGGGAAACACCTTACTGCTGTCACACCCCTCTACAGTCAGCAGTACGATTTCGCCCTCAGACCTTGGGTAGCTGCTTTTAGTCTCATCGTTCTCCGATCGACCTGTCTGGCATGGTAGGACCTGCAGGAACATGTGTTCCAGCCAGTATAGCTCGGTTGGGTCATCACGATAGGCAAGCCCGACCACCACGTCAAGGTAGCAGCTACGGTCGTGGTGACATCGTTGTGTTAGCAGCTTATCGTTGCCTTGTCTCCTTTGTCGGGAGTAGTCGGCAGGAAATCCCGTCAGCGAAGTGTACTTGTGATTTTATGAGGACCGACAATCTGTACCAGATTCAGACCCATATCACTCACTTTGATAGTTTAAAACACCAATAAATTATTCGAACGGACAATGATCAACATTGCGTTGAATTGAGATGTTTATAATTAGTTGATTAGTGAGTAATGATCAAAATCTTTTTCTCTAATCGTTTGAATGCTGATCTAATCTTGTCGATCAGTTACTTTGTTAATCATCAATAATATCATGCTGTCCATGTTTCTTTTTTTCATCAGCTGACGAGTACAAATCAATCGAACGAAGCACATGACAGCTCTTTAACTTTTGATACACAATCTTATCATTCTATTGGGACAATAACGTGTAAGGAGTCATACGCCATTTCAAGTTGTAAAAGCGATTCAGTTAATAATGATAATGATAAATTACAAAACTTGGATGGAGTAATTTCACCGACTTGGCAGCCAACAGCAGAATGGGTTCGTAGTTGGAAGTCCAAAATGCCTTTTCAGACAATTATGCGTTTATTACAGGTGTTAGTGCCCCAAGTTGAAAAAATCTGTATTGATAAGTGAGTTTTTATACTGGTACTATTTTTCGCTTTCTATGATCTTGTCATTAAATTGAAGTTGTTTTAATATATAATAGTAAAATTTGGTCAATTATAAGCAATGTAAAATTTGGCGTGCATGTACATCGATTCAAGTTTCCTTTATATAAACCTAAAGGAGACTTGGCAACGCCATGTTCGTCATAGTTGTTCACTTTCTCTGTTTTTATTTAACTCTTTGATGGATGTCCTTTTATAGGTAACGCTTTTATCGGTTGACTTGTTAATGATATATTATATAATATAGACAAAATACGGAGTCTTCTGGCTCTTTTAAGCGATAATGCAAACATTTTTGGGATGTGATATTTCTCTAAGTCTGACATTCGTTAATGCCTGATTTAATGACAGGAAGTGAAGGGGTTGATAGCGTCGATCTCATCTATAGCCTTGAGATTCTCATCAGTTCTGGTGGACTGATGCCTGATGAAACTTGCAGCCTAGGCGAAATATATACCTGCTCAGTAGTTGCAGAATTTTGCTGCGAATAAATTTTAAATACTAAAAAGTGCTTTTCTTTTGAAATTTAGAAGTCATATGTGCCATTCCTCATAACATGTTTTCTTAAAAACTTTGTCTTAATGCTCTCCAGAGTAATTCAGTGAATTTTATGCTGATGATTTTTAACTTCTGTGATTATAAAAGTTAAATAACTGAGTTTCATTTAATATTGATTAGTCGACAAGATGGTCACATAAAAGGTGAATCTCATGTTGCTAAGTACTGTAAGTGAATTATTATTATTAATATTTGACTGACAAAAACGTTTAGACAGCTTTTTTCTATATTAATCAGATTATATTCCAAATATGTTATAAATAATTTCTCTCCCGACCGTAGCTGCTACCTTGACGTGGTGGTCGGGCTTGCCTATCGTGATGACCCAACCGAGCTATACTGGCTGGAACACATGTTCCTGCAGGTCCTACCATGCCAGACAGGTCGATCGGAGAACGATGAGACTAAAAGCAGCTACCCAAGGTCTGAGGGCGAAATCGTACTGCTGACTGTAGAGGGGTGTGACAGCAGTAAGGTGTTTCCCTCGGACAACCAGCATCTGCAGCGATGCAACCTTCTCACAAGGAAGGAATGGTTAGAAAAGGTCGACCCTAAAAATGTCACAACTCACCCTACCTCACGGATTTCCGTCTCCGGTGGTAAGGGTGCCCACTAAGAGCCTTTAAGAGCGGATCTTATACTCAAAAAACGTTTCATAAAAAGGACGTGCGTGACCGGCCTCAAGCAGTTGTCCCTTGGGCTCAGCGGTCAAGCACCCAGATCTCTAAGACCAACTCTAATAGAGAGTTATATGAAGAGTGATGATTAATTGTGATAATTGATCAGTTAAGTTTCCCACTCCTCTCTCAATGTATACAGCTTATAACGCCTTGTTCCTCTGTAATGATTCATTGAAGCATAATAATCCTTGTTGTCTTTTTGTATTTTGTAGGGGTTTAACAGATGAAACCGAAATTGTTCGTTTCCTTCAAAATGGTACTCTAGTCGGTCTATTACCTGTACCACATCCAATACTCATCCGTAAATATCAATCTAATGCTGGTACAACTATATGGTTTCGTAATTATATATGGGGAATAATATATTTAAGGTAAGTTCAATCAATCCACGATATTGTACAACTATCTTCCACTATCTTTCATGAGTAACTGCCACACATCCAGTATGATTAAGCTCTAAAGGTCACGGCTTCTCACTAGAACCTCCGAGAATTCTCTCTCGAAATTAGTCACTAGAGGGCACATTATAAAGAAGCGTCAAAAAAAAGGTTCTAACAATTATTAAGAAGCAGGAATGAATGGTTGAAACATATATTAAACATACTGTAACATTTCATTACTTTTTTTTCCTAACGGTTTAATTGAAGTGAATAAGACTTTTAAAATTACTTATTTGTAGTTGTGATATTTTTTTATAGAAAAGGAGAGATTTTACAACTACTATCTGAATGCAATGTCATTCATGTATAAAATACTTATTTAATCGAAATAAGTACGACAAGTATTAATTTTCAGATAACTAATCTATGTCGTATTGCTAGGGTTATATTTCCCGTGAGGAAGGAATCAGTCCTACTCTTACACTACTACCAGGTCAGAAAATATCCGAAATTTGTCATTAAATACTGAAAAAAATTAAGCAGTTTTATTGCAATGCAATTTTCCATAGCTTTCCCTATCAATCATTTGGGGTTTCTGATAGTCTGACATATTTTCATCACGAATTACTGATCTATTTGGATTGCCATTGAAAACTAGAAAGCCTTAGACATCTGTTTCACTTCTCGGTAGTACGCACCACACGATTACACTGTGGGTCGAACCTAGAACTTCCAGCCACCCGGTGGATACCTAACACCTCGATTATTGAGCCAGGATCCAATTTTATACAAGTCTGGTTTTAATCGATCCACGATATTGTGCGACCATCTTCTATTGCCTTAGTTAACATACCGCACATCTAACGTCATGTGAGGTTTCTATACTAGTACGAAACAAAGGTCTCCCAGTATTTTCTGGTTTTCAAGGTTTGTTCAATTAACTATAAAACTTCAACACTTCATAAAAAACTCGCCTATTCACTATTCTTTATATTCATAGGAATACCTCTCCTCCTATCTGGTATGATACCAATGTCCGTCTATTCGAAGTCCAACGAATTTGATTCTGTGTGCATATGACTAACTAACTATCAAATCAAAAATAAGTATTCATTTAAGAGAATTTTCTTTTCGCTAATTAACAGTCTGTGTTTCTCTTTTTTCATTTTATTGTTTTGTTGACGTATGATTATGTGTTCAGAAGAAATCAGTTTAGCAGTTATAGACTGTTGTACCAATGTCTTTGTGTGTACTTTTTAAATGGTTGCTGTTAAATGTTCCACAAAAGTATTCCCTCCTTTTTTGCGATTGATCCAGTCTGATTCTATTCTTACTACTGATATACTATATTAGTAATATATGTACATCCATGCATACTTTTAAATGGACGATTTATTATTGCTGTTGTTGTTCATTTCTTTCACTCCATTTCCGAAACTTTCGGTATTTCGTTTGTTGCGTACTGACTTGTCGATTTTTGAGCCTAATCTTTATTTCGTCTATTTCCTTGTTTTCTGTCTTTTACGCTTATTATGCGATATATATATATATATATATATATATATATATATATATATATATATTTAAAGCACTGTGATATTTTCTATGTGAATATATATTCCTCAGCAAAGATTACATAGAGTGTGTTTACTTCTAAATACGTCTTTTGTTCAAGGTGGTTTTTTTCTCTTTCGAAGCAATACGTTTGATTGCCATTAACAATTGACTGTATATGTATGCTACGTTTTGATGTATTCAAATGAAATTTGAGAATAGGTAATTATGCAGAGCCACTTTATTCATTTATCAGACAAAGAAAATCGATTATAAAGAGAGATATCTCATATCTTTATTCGATATTTGAACACTATCGTTTTGCAACATAACGTCTGTCTCCATTTCTCGGCGTAATGTGTTCTTCGATCTTCCTCTTCTCATTTAGCCCTAAGGGTCCCAAGTGAGTGGGTGCTTTCCGCAATGTGTGTCCAGTCTACCTCCAGCGCATCTTCCTAATTTCCTCTTCCAGTGGAATCTGGTTTGTCCTCTCCCAAAGTAGGTAGCTACTGACGGAGTCTAGCTAACGAATACGATATATTTTGCGTAGACAACTGTTCATAAATACTTGTATCTTCTGAACGATTTTGAGCCATGTCGTTCAAGGTCTCTAACCATTGGTGAATTTCGTCTCGCGGAACCCAACCAGGTAGCCTACACTTGCCAACATGACTCAGTCCACTTGTCAGTGACTTAATGGATTTATTCCATGTTTTTGTCTGACCTCCCCTAACTTTCATCCAACCTACTCCTACACCACAAAACATAGGTCGTCGAGGCAGTTGCTGGCTAGGTATTCGTAACACATGTCTCAACCATCTCAACTGATGAAGTTTCAATACTTCATCTATTGATTTGCCATTCTTACCTAGCCTCCGTTTCCTAACGACAGCATTGCTTACTCGGTTAGACATCTAAGTATAATCGAGGCTAAAAATTCAGAAACTTTTATCCTTAAATTTAGATTGGGACAGTTAGCGACTGAGATCAGTCAGATAGGATTACGTCCAGTTCCCAGATGCTACCTAAGATGTCGGTCAGTCTAACTGTTAAAACTGGACCACCATCCTTAAACATCTCCTATAGCTTTCTCAACTTCATGTAGACTAGGAGGACTTAAATCGATTTGCCATTCAGGATGACTGGGGATCGTTGGTAACCGGAGTGTGGCTGAAGGCCAGTTGAACTGGTCCTTGATGTATTCTGCCCATCAGTCCAATCTCCTGGATTGAGAATGGACAATGAGACCATCATTTTCCGAAATGGTCTCACATTTGGGTTCCTAATACCAGTTTCCTTGATAAGTCAGTACAACTGTCTGTTGTTGCCTATAGCCGCTGCCTTTTCCATCGATCTCGCCACCCGTCACTGTTCGCGGTCGTTACGTAGGCTTTTTATCAGTCTGCGTCTAAGCTGACTTCGCTATTCGTCATGTTCAGAGATAACACTGCTGTTTTCATAGCCTTCCTGATATCATTCCAAGCTGCCTCCGGATGTGAATCACTTGCATAGTCGCCTAACTGTTTTTCTAGTTCCTCCTGAAATATTTTCTTAGCTTGATTACTATTAAGTAAAGCCCTAAGAGGTTTTCTTGCGTCCAGTAAGCCTCGAACAGATACGAGCTCGCACTACGGCATGATCTGAATCTAAACATGTGCCCCAGAAGGGGCGACAGTCCTCTATCGAACCCCCTCCGTCGGTGACTGATGGCGATGTGATCTAGTTGGGTCAAACGTTGAGACGACTTCAGGGGTCGCCAGGTCAAAAGATTTTTTTTCCTTACGCTTAAAATTAGTGTTTGCTAGAAATAAGCGGTTTTCTGAGCATAGATGCAGCAGACGGTCGCCATTATCTTTTCGATTAGCCGCGACACTATAACAGCCACCCAGGTGTCTTTCATTCTCACTTAGTCTACCTACTTGAGCATTGAAGTCACCAGCCATTAGAACTATATTAGAGCGCTTAACATTTTAGAGGAGGTCCGAAAGCTTTCTGTGGAACTCATCTTTCACCTCGTCTGAACTGCAGTCAGTAGGGGCGTAGGCTGATATGACGAAGAGGCAACGACGAGTGTCCCTATCCTTCCGAATCCTTACTAGCCCGTTTAGTCGGACGGCGCACAAGCGACTCTCTACAGGAATCCAGTCTAGGAGAGATAGTTCTGCCCTACGACTCAATGCTATACCTACACCAGCGAGACCCCTGAAAGCAGCATCAGGGTACACGAACGGTAAATCGAGTTGCTGCTTTATCATGACATGGTGAGGTCAAGTGAATGATGCAACTCGGATCCTGTATGTGCGTTTCCGAGACGCAGCATACATCGATTGAGCGAGATTCTAATGTTCTAGCTAACGAATCCTGTTGCCCTATTTGAAACAATGTCCGTACACTAAATGCTTCAACATGTAGTCTAGAACGGGGTTTAAGGAGACCAGGAACGACGTTTCGTGAAGTCGCATCGTTTGCATTAGCTGTGCAGTGTGTTGAAGTAATTTAAGTAGAGTTAGTTGTGAAGAGAAGAGAGGCATTAGGGGGTGTAGGAAGGATTTGATTTTGACCAATTTGGTCTCGCCTGCTGTTACCGGTATGAGGGCGGTTGTCACTTCCCGGCTGCCCACACTGTGGAAGGTTGTTTCTTGAGGAACCTGAAAAGGAAGATAGATTAGCGTTGGCCTGAACGACCTGCGAGCGTTACCGCAGAGTCCAGGGGACAACTGCTTGAGGCCGGTCACGCACGACTTTTTTATGAAGGGTTTTTTGAGTATTAGCTCCGCTCTTAAAGGCCCTTAGTGGGCACCCTTACCACCGGAGACGGAAATCTGTGAGGTAGGGTGAGTTGTGACATTTTTAGGGTCGACCTTTTCTAACCATTCCTTCCTTGTGAGAAGGTTGCATCGCTGCAGATGCTGGTTGTCCGAGGGAAACACCTTACTGCTGTCACACCCCTCTACAGTCAGCAGTACGATTTCGCCCTCAGACCTTGGGTAGCTGCTCTTAGTCTTATCTTTGTGTTAGTAATGTGGTCCGGTGAAATCCATTTAGCTTTGTGTATGCGTTTTGCGGGAATACTGTGCCACCAATTACTAGTTTGTGAAAGTCACGTAGGTTTGAAAATCTCTCACCGTTTTCGTTCATTTCTCCCAGTCCAGTTCGTCCGATCATGAGATTCCCATGCTATCAATTCCTTTTGTACTTGTATGGACAGTATCAGTGCAAATTCTTGTGTGGGCGATGCATTTTCTCCTTCATGACCAGAGTATAACAGCAGTTCCCCTGAAAGTAGTGTCTGTTGCTCAAACTGCGTCCAATGGGTTTCACTGATTCCAAGCACCTCCAGGTTATATCTTTTCATTTTTGTAGCAACTTGAAATAGTCTTCCAGTCTCCCACAATGTTCGAACGTTCCATTTACCTAAAAGAATGGTTATTCTGGTAGTCAGTAGGAGAATCAGCATCGTGACTTCCGAAGGAAATCGGCCTCCATCATGAGACGTCATAAGTCTTATTGAAGGTATGCTTCCTACTCCTAAGCCGATTTTCAAATGTGCTGAAATCCAACGTGTATAAATAAACGGGCGCGACACGGTTTACTCATCATACCGACTAGCTTTTATTTTAACACATTTCAGTATGGCCTAAAATATCTTTTTTACATGTCCTCACTGTTGTCAACGACCTCTTGCTGGCTTAAATCTTTGGTGATGAAATGCGCGGAAATTCTCACACTGAGTTTTCTCCGTAGTTTGGATGATGGAATGAGAATTGCCCTTATTTAGGTGGCCTAGAACTTATAGAACAATGTATACGTAGCTAATACTCTAACGTAAAGTCGTTGGACGACGTCATCGAATCTGAATACTTATTCATCATGGTTCCCGACAAAACAAGAAAAATAGGCGAAATATCTAATATCCTGGGTGTAGAACGCAAACTGAGTTACGGATTGAGGAACAGCTGTTCAGGAAGTTTAGATACGTGTCTTGCCCAGTTTAAATCCAAAACAAGTGATCTGGGTAAATAACCCTTTTTTTATTAATCATAAATATAAATATACATCATTATCTGAACAATATTACAACTGTCATTCGTTCAATAATAACACAGAGTGTTTCCGATTCCGGAAGAGTGCTCCAATTCTCAACCCAAATTACACACTTCCAGTTCGTGTAAGTGCTCCAAGCGCCAAAGGAACAAAATTGATATGGCCGTCGCCATGATTAAGTATCAACTTAAACAACGTAATGCAGTTCAGAAGGAATCATACAAATTCAAAAAAAGCACAAAAAAATAGAAACTATAACAAAATACAAATATTATCATTCTAAAGTGGAATTCAACAGATTACCATGATGTAGAACTGAAAGAATCAATAAGGACCTATTACAAATGCATACATGGAGGGGTTTTCTCAAACACCGCTTTCCAAAATGGATCTTACACTGCGTACTAATAAGACGAAACTTCAGTATCGGGGAGCCTGATATAGGTGGTATAGATTTGTTCCCAGGTCCCCAGGTAAAGATTCCAGAGCACAGACATACACTCGCCGTTGGCTCGTGATGCGGCAGATCTCGAAATGAGTCCATAGTGCCGCGAATCAGATTTCTGGATCATGGGGAATAAAAGCGAGAGTCTGTTATATTATCATCATTCTTCAGTATATCCATCATTATAAAAAGCTGTTGCAGATATGGTTTATATACAAGAAAATATTGATATATATTATGAAACAGTTAAAACAGAATTAAATGTGGATAGAGAAATGACAGACTTACCGTAGTTGCGTGAGTTTTGGCCATAGTTGATGCGTTTCCGGTGTCGTCGCTCACCGATTGTAGTGAGATTGGGACTACTGATCGCGAAATTACCAAGTAAAATCCTGTTAAATTCCCTGTAGGATCCAAACTCAGGTTCGCATTTAGGTAGTTTAGATAATCGTCTTGCCCAGTTTAAATACAAAACAAGTGATTTGCGTAAAGAACGGTTCTAATATTCATCATAAATA